GCCATCCCTGGTGGCTGGTCGTCGTCGTGGCACGCCAGTGGTCTGACCCCCTCCTCTCCTTGCCGCCCCTCCCGCCCTGCCGCAGCTGCGATGCCTCCTTCAAGGGCAAGTCTGGCGAGCTGGTGCTGACCGGCTCCACCCGTCTGAACGACCCCTATGCCGTCTGCTACTCCCAGTTCACCGTGGCCGTTGGCAACGACTGCGCCCTCACCGTCACCCCCGCCGCCTTTGCTGCCGACCTTAAGTACAAGAACACGGTGGGTGGCTGGCAGGCTGTGTTTGGTGGGCAGGCTGGCTGGCCGTGTGGACATGCTTGCAGCAAGACGTGCAGCCCTCCCCACTCTTTACTGAACGCATCATACACACCCCTCATGACCTTCGCCCCCCTCCCTCCCCTCCCATGCCGCAGACCTGCCCCACCAGCCCCCTGAAGGGCGGCGTTGTGGTGAACAACGACATCAGCACGGCCCTGGCCCGCGCCCTGAAGAACGCCACCTTTGCCGCCACCTTTGTGCGCGCCTCCACCTTCCAGACCGCCTTCAAGGGTGTCACCGTGGACACCACCGTGGGCGGCGTGCAGGGCACCCTCACCTTTGCCGTGAAGGGCGCCTTCTCCTGGCCCAACCTCGCCTCCACCGACCTCTGCGCCGCCGCCAACACCGCCTGCGACAACAGCGCCACCTGCGCTGACGGCCGCTACGACGACGGTGCCGTGTGCGCCATCTGCCCCGCCGGCGCCCAGTGCACTGCCGGCGCCAAGGCCACCTGCAGCGCCGGCTCCTTCGCCACCCTGCCCGGCTCCACCGCCTGCACCACCTGCGACGTCGACACCTACCGCTCCACCGCCGGCGGCTCCATCTGCGAGCCCTGCCCCGAGAACTCCTACGCCCACTTCACCGGCTCCACCGGCTGCCTGGCCTGCTACTACGGCATGCCCAAGGTGGTTGCTGGCGAGATTGACGGCGTGGCCGGCTTCAACGGCGACCTGCCCGAGGAGCAGCCCAAGCCCGGCTACCGCATCGTCACCCTGCCCTCCACCAGCACCCTGGAGGCCTGCTCCCTGGCCCACCCCTTCAACACCGGCGCCAACAAGTGCGACAGCCTGGACGGCCGCACCCTGGCCATTGAGACTGACGTGACCTGCGAAGTGCGCGTGTTTGTGCTGGGCGACAGCAAGTGCTCCGTTGCCGACGACCTGGCCGTGATCGATGGGTGAGTGGGCCTGGCATGGCTGTGCCTGCTGCTGCCTGCTGCTGCCTGCTGCTGCCTGCTGCTGCCTGCTGGCCTGCCCCACACCTGCTTGCATACTGCCTGCTGGCCTGCCCCCCACACCTGCTTGCTCACATGCCCCTTCCTCCTCGCTCCGCCTCCTGCTGCAGTGCCTACCAGACCCTCGACACCATCTCTGCCCGCGCTGCGGACAAGGTTGGCGGCGTTGGCATTGCCATCACCTTCTCCGGCACCCCCTCCCTGGCCGTCACCGACGGCGCCACCTCCTGCACCGACAGCGGCCTCACCCTGCTGCCCTTTGACACCACCGGCTCCGCCACCTGCCCCGCCGGCACCAGCGGCGAGGCCCACCCCCAGAACGGCCCCAGCGTGACCACCTTTGTGAAGAAGCAGTGCGCCCCCTGCGACGCCGGCTACCAGTGCGCCAGCGGCGCCGCCACCGCCTGCGACTCCGGCAAGTTCAACGAGCTGATTGGCGCCGACGACGTCTCCCAGTGCGTGGCCTGCCCCAACTACTCCTCCAGCCAGAAGGGCGCCGCCAAGTGCCAGGAGTGCGCCCCCGGCACCACCAACAACGCCGGCAAGACCGCCTGCGAGCTGTGCCCCCAGGGCACCTTCAACAACGTGTCCGGCACCGTGTGCCAGGCCTGCCCCGCCGGCACCTTCCGCTCCGCCAACGGCGGCGACGGCACCGCCTGCACCAAGTGCCCCCCCGGCAGCTGGTCCGCCGCCAACGCCGCCGAGTGCACCCTGTGCGCTGAGGGCTACGCCACCTCCGAGCAGGGCTCCACCTCCTGCTCCCCATGGTGAGTTGGCCGGGCTGGCTGCCTTGCATTGTTGTTGTGGGCAGCAGCAGCAGCAGCAGGAGTGGCAGGCCTGCATCCAGCCCCGGCAGCCCTGCCCCTGCCGCTTGCCTGCCTGCCAGCCTGTGTATGTTTCCCACCCTGCTTCACCCACTCCTGAGCATCCTCCCCTGCTCCCCTTCCCTGCCGCAGCGGCCCCGGCACCTTTGCCAAGGGCGACGGCTCCCACACCTGCAACGACTGCCCCGCCGGCTTCTACTCCGACGCTGCCGCCAACCCCAGCTGCACTGACTGCGGCCCCGGCCAGTTCACCATCAACGTGAACGGCAAGGGCGCGTCCAGCTGCAACCTGTGCAAGGTCGGCACCTTCAAGCCCACCGGCGCCACCGACAACAAGTGCCGCTCCTGCCCCGCCGGCTACGAGACGGGCTCCACCCAGGCCGGCGCCTCCGTGTGCACCCAGTGCGCCGCCGGCAAGTTCTCGGCCACCCCCAACACCGCGCTGTGCACCCCCTGCCCCAAGGCCTACTTCGCCGCCAACCCCGGCCAGAAGGCGTGCAAGGCCTGCCCCGCCGGCCAGATCACCGATGCCACCGGCGGCGCTGC